GTTTGGCGGGTCCGGGCTGGGGATTCGAACCCGCCACCTTAGGTGTACGTGGCTGGCGCCTTAGCCGGTTGAGCTATAGGCGCCGAGCCCGAAAAACTCATTTTTAAGGTATTAAAGAATTAATCTTTATTAAAACCCTTTCATTTGCTAGAATGAGTTCCATGATGGTACTTCACTATGAGACTGTATCAAATTGTTTTTGCTCCTTTTGGTCGCTGAAAACTGGTTCTATGCTTGAGGGCCACCAATTCTTTTTGTTTGTTTGTTTGTAGTTTTTGGCTGGGGCTGGGTTTGAACCCGCCACCCTCAGCATATGGGGCTGGCGCCCTACTCCTTGAGCCACAGGCGCTGCCCAGGGCCACCAATTCTTGAAAGCAACTGATTATTTACAGTTCAGATTAAACTTACAGTGGCTTGAGCACACACACACAATATACCTTTCCACCTGAAATTCAAAGAAATGTGGCTAGGGGCCTGTGGCTCAAGTGGCCAAGGCGCCAGCCACATACACCTAAGGTGGTAGGTTCCAATCCAGCCTGGGGCCCGCCCAAACAACAATGACGGCTACAACCAAAAAATAGTCAGGCGTTGTGGCGGAAGCCTGTGGTCACAGCACTCTACCCAGGGGGCTAGCTTGAGGATCTGTCTCAAAAAAAAAAAAAAAAAATCAGAGAAACTAGGCTCTGTTTATCCACACAATACTTTCCTATTCTGAAGTTAGTTAGGTCAGGACTTAAATCTCTCATCACACTGAATTCTAGGTCGAAATGGGAGGGGAGACAGTCTGTTAACCACTTTCCAACATGGACACAACCTACACAGTCCTCTTTGGAAATAGTGGGAGTAGGGAAAACTCATTGGTACCAACTACTGCCAACAGCTCCTGAAAAGTCAGTGCCAATAGTTTAATATCAAAATAATCAAGTTCCTAAACCTTTTGCTCATCCTCACCCCCACCATTCCTTGAGCACAGTGTGAAAATTTGGGAGAATGAATTAAAAGAAGCTTCCATATACTGCTGTAGGCCATCACTGCCCAGATAACTGAATCTTCACTCTCAAGATACTGCTCCCCACAGCAGTAGGTGCCAAAAGCAAGAAACTAAAGCTGGAACTTGAAGATAAAAAACATCTTGAGGACTTAGTGCCTGTGGCTCAAGCTGCTAAGGCGCCAGCCATATACACCTGAGCTGGCAGGTTTGAATCCAGTCTGGGCCCACCAAACAATGATGGCCGCAACCAAAAAATAGCCAGGCATTATGGCAGGCACCTGTAGTCCCAGCTACTTGGGAGACAGAGGCAGGAAAATCGCTTGAGCCCAGGAGTTGAAGGTTGCTGTGAGCTGTGATGCCCTGGCACTCTACCTGGGAGGACAGCAGCTTGTGGCTGTCACAAAAAAAAAAAAAAAAGCATCTCAGCGAGGTGAAGTGGCCTAGGCTTGTAATCCCAGCACTTGGGAGGCAGAGGTGATGGATTGCCTGAGCTCACAGGTTTGAGATCAGCCTGAATCAGAACTAGATCTAATCTCCAAAAATAGCCGGGCGTTGTTGCCGAAGCCTGTAGTCCCAACTACTTGGGAATCACTTCAGCCCAAGAGTTTGAGGTTGCTGTGAGCTGTGATCCCATGGCATTCTACCAAGGGCATCAAAGTGAGACGCTGTCTCAACCCCTGCCCCCAGTCTTGTTCTTAAATTGATACAGAAACAAGTTGGGTGTGGTGGCCCATGCCTTTAATCCTAGCACTTTAGGGGGCTGAGGCGAGTGGACTGTTTGAGCTTTGGAGTTCTACACCAGCCTGATCAAAACCGAAACCCTGTCTCTACTAAAAACAGAAAAACTGAGACAAGAGGATCGCTTGAGCCCACAAGTTTGAGGTTGCTGTGAACTATGACCCCATAGCACTCTACTACCAAGGGCAATACAGGTAGTCTCAAACAAAAAAAAAAAAAAAAAAAGAGAGAGAGAGAGGGAGAAACAATTTCACACTCCCCTTAGAGAAGCACGTTAGATACCAATGCGTGTTTCAGAAGGTTAGGTCGATTTCCAAATTACCAAGGACATCCAAACTTCTTTTCACAGGTAAGGGGGTAGTACTGACTTGTTTCTCCTGGGGGCGCTCTTCCGAGGATATTTGGGCTGCCTCCGGAGCCTCAGAGTCTTTGGCCGCCGGAAGGTGGGTGATGTACGGATCTTCTTTTTTTTGTGGCTGTGGATGCCTTTTAGCACTGCCTTCTTGGCCTTCAATGCCTTTGCCTTGGCTTCTGCTTTGGGAGGGGCAGGAGCTGGGAGAGAAGGAAAGAAAATGAGGTCAGAAAATCTGTCACTTCCAGCCTCATGATTTGACATAGATGTCCACGGCCACACGTGCATCAGCGGTTCCTTTGCAGACATCACAAATCTCAGGAAATTAAGATTTTTCCATCATATGCACGATAGTTGGGGCGAAGGTGATCAATTTGGAGTAACTCTAGGGATACGACGAAACAAAACAAAGTGCTGAGGGAACCCTTGATACTTGCCAAGACGTGTGCTAGGAGTTTCATACATACCATCGCAAACCACGGGGGAGGGTAGGTATACAGTCCCGTTTAAAATGAAACCGAAGAAAGTGAGTAAAACAAATGACACCAATTCTTTACATGCCCGAAAACATGGATCGCCAGCCTATATATTCAAGCAGCTCCTGAGGGCAACTATATGGCTCTCCCTGGACGCCGACACCGGCCAGGTGGCTTCCCCAATCCCCAGGACTGGAACCCAGCCCATGTGGCGGGGCCCATAGGGCCCATGTACGCCACACCATGACCCAAAAGGCGGGAAGCAGCTCCGGAGTAGAGCACTGTGAGCCTAGCGCAGCCCCTGTCCTCTCAATTCGTTCGCTCTCTGGAGAGACCCCAGACGAACCAGCTGGGGTCCCCATCCCCAAATCACACACCTTCCTTCTTTGCTTTCGGCGCCATCTTGTGAAAAGACCGTCTGAGACCCGTTTGCACAGGCTTATAGCGCCAAATCTCAATGAAGACGCGCGATACTTTGCACTTACAGCTGATTGGATAATCTGTGGAGTGACGCCAGCCGGGAAAGGTAGTTTGGTTTAATTGCTCCGCGGAGGGACTAAGCATGCGCTACAAAGGGGATAAAAGGACTAAAGCTTCTTGGGGATTGTAGTTTTTTGAAGACGCAGGCGGCCCGCTCTGGGCCCGGGATGAGAAAAGTTGCAGTGAGAAAACAAGAACATTGCCAGCCTGAAATAAAGCAGTTAGATTGGGCAGCTCCTGTGGCACAAGGAGTAGGGCGCTGGCCCCATATACTAGAGGTGGAGGATTCAAAGTTTTTGGCCGGCCTTGGCCAAAAACTGCAAAAAAAAAAAAAAAAAAAAAGCAGTTAGATTAACTCAGGCATTCAGATACAGATAAATTTTAGAATGTCAGAGTAGGATTTTCCCGCTTAACTCCCTGAAACATCAATGGAGGACCAGAGAGAAAATTGAATCAGTAGGCGGGTAAAGTATCACAATAGGTACAAGGCTGCCACATCTGCCCCTCTTTACTTGTGACACTGTTAGTTTTTCTGCATTTTTCTGATAATACTCTTTAAGAAGTTCTATGAATATTCCAAATACCCAGAGCACAGATTTCTCTAGGATTCTCTAGTTCTTACATTGAGTAATTTCACTCAGTCCCTTCTCCTGAACTAGTCTTCAGTTCCCTGTCCCAGTCATCTTTGCACCCTCAAATTCAGTTCCTGACTTACAGCAGGTATCATAGTGCTCAGGTTTGCTTCTCCGAAGGGTCTGTTCCTAACTGGTGTTCCCCTTTCCCTCCTGGAACCAGAGATGCCAGCTTAAACAGTGAAACTGGTTGTGAGTTGCCCCTTCTATCCTGCAAGACTTTGCAAAAAGGAAAATTTGTCTTTGGGGGAGAAGATTCCAAGGGGGCTAGAGCAACGATGGAACGTCATACCAAACGGGTCCTAAAGCGCTAACCACCGCTGGAGCAGTGTTTCCCGGTCCACTTAGCCATCAAGAGGGCAGCCTAGTCTTCAGCTTTCCCATCATCCAAACTACACAACAGCCTTATAGGAAAAGACACCACACTTCGGACGTCTCTCTACTTGGTGGGTACCCCGTTCCGACCCTGGCAGCCTCTTTCGTGATTCCCCCCACCCCCACCTCCAAGGCAGAAGGGCGAGCAGGGGCAGACTCTATGAGTCACTCCCAGGCCTACAGTAGAGGAGTGAAGCGCCGCCTCTCCTTGGGCCCCTTCTCTCCCCCTTTCTCCTCCCCGCGGGTTCCAGCCCTCGCCAGATGCTGCGCAGCAATCAACGATTCCCCATCACATCAGTTCGACTGGGTAAGGGTCCCCACGGAGGCGCAGCCCGGCACAGAGGTGCAGGGGAGAGCAGACTGGGGAATCTCGATCTGGATAGGCTCCAGTCTGGGTGGGGGCGGTCCTGGTGCCCAGCCAGGCGTCCGACGGAGACGACTGAGCCCGGGCAGCTCAGTGGAGAGAAGAGGGGGAGGCGAGGGCGGGTAGTGAGGACCAGAGTTTTCGAGAGAGGGGAGGGGGCGGCCCTTCTCCTGGAATTTCCGGGGATCGTGTTACAGCGCTCGCGGAGCCAGAGCGGAGTGGGACGCGAGGTCGGCAGCCAGGCTGGGCCCTTCGCCCCCTCCTCTAGCGGCCTGCGGGCCTCGCCTGCACCACCCTTGTCCACACTGACCCCGTGTGGCGGAGCGGCTCCGTGCCCCCAGGCCACTCTGTTATGGTAGGGCCGCCTCAGCCCCGAGTTGACGTCGGATCTCCGCGGCCCCGGGTTATTGTAGGAACTATCCGGCCCCGCGTTATTGTAGGGTCTGCACGTGCCCGGGCCCCCCCCGACGGGACTCCTCGTCCCCACTTGGCTCCCGAGGGGTGTCCTCGCCCCCGAGTCGTCTTTGGGACGCCCCGGGCCCGGGTGGTTGTGGGCTCGCCCCGGCCCCGGGTGATTGTCTCATCCCCGTGGCCTGCGGTGGTTGTAGCGTCTCCGAGACCGCGGGCTCCCGTAGCCTCTCCGTGGCCCCGAGTTATAGTTGGGACACCCCGGCCACGAGTGATTGTCGGGTCTCCACGGTCTCGGGTCGCTGGGGCGGATCAGGCCTCGGCGCCTCCTCGGGGCGCCCCCCAAGGCCGCAGGCAAGATGAACATTCTGGCGCCAGTGCGGAGGGACCGCGTCCTGGCAGAGCTGCCTCAGGTAGGCTTCAGAGCCACGTCGGACTTTTGGCTGCAGCGGGTATGGGCGGGGAGAAGGCGGCACCAGACAAGTAGGCCCAGCCCTGCCACCCAGCTAGGCCTGCTGCTTCTGGGTGGTCCAGCCGCGTCTAGTGCCAGGAGTGGGTGAGTCCCATTCTTTTCAATCCTTCTCACTCAGTGCCTGAGGAAGGAGGCCGCTTTGCACGTGCGCAAAGACTTTCACCCCCGCGTCACCTGCGCCTGCCAGGAGCACCGGACAGGCACCGTGGGGTGAGTTAGGGACAATCATAACAGAGAAAAGAGGTCTCTGTAAACCCTTGTAATCAGAGCAAGGGTACAGAATCACCTCCATTCTCATTGTGAGTTAAAAGAAGTGATACTAATAACATGGTGGTTGAGCATTTACAAATTTACAGTGTACTAGGTAGTGTGTTGGTACTTTTTTTTTTTTTTTTGAGACAGTCTCAAGCTGTCGCCCTGGGTAGAGTGCTATGGCGTCATAGCTCACAGCAACCTTGGGTTTAAGCGATTCTTTTGCCTCAGCCTCCCAAGCAGCTGGGACTACAGGTGGCCACACCACAACGCCCGGCTATTTTTTGGTTGTAGTTGTCATTGTTGTTTGGCAGGCCCAGGCTGGATTCAAACCCTCCACTATGGTGTTTTTGTTTGTTTGTTTGTTTCACAGGTTTTGGCCAGGGCTGGGTTTGAACCCACCACCTCCAGTATATGGGGCCAGCACCCTACTTCTTGAGCCACAGGTGCCACCCAACTATGGTGGTTTTTGTTTTTTGTTTTTTTTGAGACAGGTTCTTGCTCTTTCACCTAGGCTGGAATGCACTGGCACCATCATAGCTCACTGCAGCCTCAAACTGGGCTCCAGGAGCTTCCTGAGTAGCTGAGATTATAGGCATGACCCACCATGGCTTTATCACTGTCTTTTTTTTTTGAGATAGAGTCTCACTTTGTTGCCCTTGGTAAAGTGTTGTGGCATCATAGCTCACAGCAACCTCAAACTCTTGGGCTCAAGGGATTCTCTTGCCTCAGCTTCCCAAGTAGCTGGAACTGTTGGTGGCTGCCACAGCACTGGGCTATTTCTAGAGATGAGGTCTCACTCTGGTTCAGGTTGGTCTTGAACCTGTGAGCTCAGGCGATCCACAGCCTCCCAGAGTGCTAGGATTACAGGTGTGAGCCACCTCGTCTGGCCCTATCACTGTCTTTTATTAAATAGAAAATAGTATTTTGGGAGTGGGACACAATTGTAGGAGGGATTTTCCTTAACAAAAGCAATCAGTATAACCTAATTCTTTGTACCCTCAACGAATCCCAGACAATTAAAAAAAAAAAAGAAGGGCAGCACCTGTGGCTCAGTGGGTAGGG